GTGCTCCTCTGAGCTCTTCTGCCATGTTATATGGATGTTATCTTCTAGGGAGAGCATATTACTTCAGAGAAAGGTTTGAATAAATTCATTCTAAAGCTAAGGTTATTGTAGCAGAAGATTTTACTGCAGAGTGGTGCCTGCTTTTTGCAGGGATTTAAATTATGAACATCATGTCACGGTTGAGTTTTGGACACTGAGAGAATAGTAGGAAATGCTATCTCATTTAAAGAACAATTTATAGAGCTACATATATGGCAGTATAGCAGAAAATTGGACATCATTGCGAGGAAATCTGCAGCAAAATTCTGATTTGAGTCAGAATTCTTTTACCATGAAATAATAGCCAAATTCTCCAGTTTTCCATGACTCTTCCCTGCTGGCATGCAGATGGCACAATAGGCTATCCTTCAGCAGAGAAATACAGAGCTTCTTTTACCCAGAGAGATCACAGCCATGCAGATTTTAGTTTCCTCTTAAAAATCTGGTATGCCTTTTTTTTACCAGCAATATCATCAACAACATTTAATAAGCTTGAAGTTTCTGTATGTGACTCCCAGTGTTTTATCTGCTACAAAAGTCTTTTCCTCTCCTGTATTACACTTAGAAAATGCTTTAGCATCATATTCTTCATATTCTTAACTTGTATTATGGCTATGCCTCCTAGCTTTAACAAATACTCTTACTGCTTTCAGAGAGATCCTAACTGTTCAAGGATTGCACAGGGGAAAATATCTACATGTCATTTGATAACAAGTTCCAAACAGAGTAAGAAAAATGAGTTGCTGGCACTTAGGTTGGAATACTCAGGAAATGCTGAGAAGTGATGTTAGAAAAAAACATATTACAGATTCTGGGAAGCATGTGCATATCATTTCATCTCAAACTGAGGTGTCAACATCAATAAAACAACTGCTATTTTTTTCCCTATAAAACTACACTGAGAAACTCTAAATGCAGTTTGCAGTTGAAAGATTATAGCAGTCAGTAGCTGAATGTTCAGATTTAATGGTGCACTTGTAGATATGTCACTATTGTTTATCCTTTGCTACAGCCAGCTCTTAACCTATTATCACATAAAGGAACCTTATCTTTTGTGTGAAATAGCATAAGGAGGAAGAATTCTGTGCACTCTCTAATTAACCATAGACCTATTTTAATTTAAAAGTAGATTTGTTGGTATGTCTAACAACCTTGACATATGTCTAAATCCAATATTATCATCTGAGAGTGAGATTTATCACATTGAAGTTTTGTTTGCAGAATTTCCATGTATTTGAAATTGATTCTGCTGCTGCCACTGATGTTTCCAGCTGTTGTGCACAAGTCTGTTTCCAAGAAGGAGAGGTGAACAGAGGGTTTAATTGCAGTATATGGTTTCAGTAACAAATTCAGAGTTCCTGACTCCCAGTCAGTGTGGGCAGAGGATTCTGATAAAGTCCTTGATAAAGAGATGGTCTGTTATGGAGTGTGGTATCCTTGCAAACCCTTTTGATTATTCCTGATGTTGGTAATGGGGCATCAATCTGCCCTCAGAGACACAGCCCTGAAGCACAATCTCACTCTGCTTTGGAGAGGATGTTCGTGCATACATTTAAAGAAAGAATTCGTCTTTGTATTTTCCTGGGCTTCAGCTTTGTCTTTGACTTGATAGGATCACGATCTGTCAGGGCTAGAACAAAAGAGGAGAGTGTTAGAGAGTTCTCATGCAACCCAGAAGAGCTATCTGAAATTGTCACCTTCTTGCTCATCATTTCTGTTGTGTCTGTAATCCTGTAATTACAGGTCAGGGCTGCTTCCTTCCAGGCCAGAGATAAGTTCCTCTTGCTGCTTTTTCTCCACAGCTTTGCAGAGCCACTGCAGTTCCAAGAGGGAATTGGATTCTGTCCATCTCCACATGTCATTAGCATTGCTCTCCTGTCTTTCAGTGCTGTTTTTTCTTCACTAGTGATGTCAGAACTGTTTAAATTGCTATTTTGAATTTCAAATCCCACTTGAACTTGTCCGAAAAGCAACCTCTGTGGGATTTTGAAAAACTCTATCCTGCATAGCACTGAAAAATAAGAACTATTAGCACTTCTGGGATAGTATTATAATATGGGTATTATTTTCTGCATCAGTTTAAGTTCAGAAGTGTTTAAAAAAACTTCTTTATGGCCTTCACCTTTGGCCTGTGAAAGGAGCAGTGCCAGTTTCTAGCTCTTATTTGAATCATAGAATCTCCCCGAAGGTTTGGAGATGAGCAGATTTTCAGCTTTCTCAGAAATAATAGTTTATCTGAAATATTTTGGATTATTGACAGCTAACTTTACTTTCCCTGCAAGTCACTTGTGGTGCAGGTTTCCTTGCACTGTAGCTATGCTTGTTTTGACAAATTAAGTTTTCTTTAGGTCTACTTCATAATACTTCATTTAGTCAGTCTAGTGGTGCTTTAGGGTTTGCTTTTTTTTTGTGCTTCATAATCAGTCTACATTCAAAATGTAGATCATAAACAAGGAAGATGAAAACTTGTTTTCATTGTTAGGAATCATAAAACATCTCAAGGTTTCTCTTTCTTTAAAAACAGATGAAAAGATTAGTGTATGAGACAGTTTTGTGATGTGTTTCATTTCATACAGTGTTTCTCTGAGTGCTGTTATTCTGTATCATCCCTAATGATTGCAGTGCCTTGAGTCATGGTGTTGTTTTTTAAAAGCTTTCACTTTTCCACTGATTGTTCTCAAGGTTGCATTATGCAAAATACAACATTTTATTTTTTGCACTAGTCCAGGCTATATAAAAATATTTTTAATCCTTTTATGTAAATTGAAATAGCTCTGCTCTGAGGAAGAGGTTTTAGGCCTGTTTTTAGTGTTCCTAACTGCTGTAATGAACTGCTGTTTCTTCCTACTGTTTCTTGAAAAGGTATGGAGTCATGTATCTTGCCTTTAAAAATATTCTAAGGTGGTAATTCTTGCATGTTCTTGCTTTGGTAATTTGATTTAGCTATTCACCATGAATTGCAAACCACTAAGAATTATCAAAACATAGTTTTGTTGTTTAAATAATTATGAAAGAGAACTTTTTCCACTTTCCCATAAATGTGAGAAGTAAGGGTAAAAATACAAGGGAGGTACAGGGAGAGGAAAGCACAGACTTCTTATTTTATTTCAATGGATTTGCATTATGGATAAAATGAACAAATGAGCTGAATTAAATGCATTATTCAAAACTTTTGTTTTGGCTTGATTAAAACTCTGCTCTACCAATCATTTGTGTTACCGTGACACTTTTTTTTTTTCCTCATATCTGGTGATGTTAGGCATTGTATCTTTTGAAAATGTTCCCTACAGAGCTTTTATCCTAAGTGTCTGCAGCCCTTGGCCCCTTTTTAGTATTTGCTACACCCAAAACTCCTACAGGTCTGTAAGAATTATGAGTGCTCTGCTGTAGCATCAGTGTGAACAGACACATTGCTGAGGGTAGCACAGGCTGGGAGGTTGTCTCTGTAGGGAAGCCCCAGATCTGGTAGACTCTGGCTGAAAGTTCTCAGTGCAGAGAAAGCTATTAGAAAACTTAGTAGTCAACCAGGTTAGCATTCACCACAATTCTTTTGTGCATTTAAGCCTTGGCTGAAAATCTGTGCTCCTGCCTTTTTCTCTCTGCACTACTGAAGTGCTTACAAAACTCATGACTGTAATATACACATAGGTATGGAAATACTGAGGGAAACAAAACAAAAGCTTTCCCCCCAAAAACCATAACCAACCAAAATAGCATGACCTGTAATTTTTTTCTGGTCTCACTTCACCTTTCTTGACGTTTTCCCAAAAATAATCCATTTTATATTGATACTAGAACAAGGCAATTTCTTTGATTTTCATCTACATTTAATACAAGGAATCAAGTATGAACTGCCAAGAGAAGTTTTTTAGCAATAATGAATATATATGCTGCTGCTTGCGCCATTTACGTTTGCTATGCACAAACGTATTCCACAGCAGTTTGATTTTGTTAAAAGCTGGAAGACTTTCATCAAGGGGAGCCAAAGGAGTCTTTTGTTCATTCCACACTCACACTGATTGAAAACATATTTTCCAAAGAAATTCTGTGAGTATCCATGTACTGAATGAAGAAAGAACTTGGTGCCAAAAGGTGTTCCTTTGCTTGCAGAGAATGGTCAAAATGTATCATTAAGAGATCCTTGTCTAGAATGACAAGAAAAAGGCAGGAGTTTGTGTTTCTAGGAATAACTTGGCTCTACTATTGTTCTCTTTTCTTTAAAGAAATATACAGGGGTTTTTGCTGGGTTGTTCTTTTCTTTTTGTGGAAATGGCAGTAAAGAATTGTTGGATAGGAAATGCCTTGCAGGAGCGATTGTTGGAGTCAATTTCGAGTGAATTTTGAGCAGGCAACTAACTTTCTGTCCCTACAAGAAAATTTTTTTCAACAGTTTTTGAACATTCTAAATATCTACTATGAAAGTCCAGTAATCCTCCAACAGGGGCACAGGATTTTGAGAAGGAAACTCTTGTCTCCCAATATCTCATGTATACCTTCGGAAGACATAGCTGCTGATCCTGTAAGGTCATAGGGTATTTGTGTGTGCTGTAGGCACTCCATTTACTCCATCTTGGGCCCCATTTTAGACTTGTGCCCTCATTATCATGGATTTTATGATTTGAGCTAATTCATTTGGGCAACGTTTCAGCTTGAAGAAAGCTTGTACAATTGGCTGCTGTGCAATGCTCTCACTTTTTAATGGTGTGTAAGCAGATTGCCCAAATGCTTTGGCCAGTCAGCTGTACTGAACACACAACAGAAAATACTTGTGTCAAGGGGAGGCTCTCTGCATGCCCACCAGAATGGCATAACCTTCTTAGGGCAGCATTACTTATAATTAATTCAAGTGAAAACAGGCAAGAGCATCAGTTATGCAGAAATACAGTTTATTCTTTCAACTATTGTGATCAAGGGAAGATTGGAAAAAGACACATTAACAAGATCTTCTGTTTCCTTCCTAGAATTACAACAACAGCTGCTTGTATGATGGACCTACGGAGATATCCGCTGGATGAGCAGAACTGCACACTGGAGATTGAAAGCTGTAAGTACTTCTGCAAATCCTACTTATTCAGTGGTCAACTGCTTCAGAGGTTTTATTTCTGTCGGGTTCTGCTTTTTTGAGGTTTTTATTTTTGAGGGTTTGTTTTTTTTTACCATGCTACTAACCTACTTGTCTTTCTGTCTGATGACGTTTAGATCCTTGTAAACACATGCGAAAAAAATAGCTTTCCAGATGGATTAGTAATTTGTGGCACAAGGATTAGCAAAAGTTATTCTGTGTTTTGATGGACAATTTACAGCTTTAAAAGTCTCATTCAAATGCCTTGCTGGAGTTCATGTGAGGAGCACAAGGATTATTATCAGTTCTTTATCCTCCTTTACTGCTGAACTGTGTGGCAGCTTGTTTCCATTTATAAACTAAGGCAAGACCTTAGAATTGTCCTTGAAATAGGTGTTTTCTGGGCTCTATTCCTGACCACTGTTAAACTTTCAGTATATGTAACACAGTTTATTTACATGTACTGACTTTTAATAACTGGTGCTCTGTCCAACTTTCTCTGTAGATAAACCTTGTGAAACAAAACCTCTCTTTTCTCTGAAGTATCCTCAGGGAATCTAAGTATATCACAGCAGAAACAATTCATGATCACTTTTACAAAGGCAATATTGCAAGCGTGTTATTTGACACTCTAATTAAGATCCTATCAACACTTTCAGGATTAATGTCGCATTTTAAGATACAGTACACAAATATGTGTATTTTTCAAGTAACTGCTGTATTATAAAATATTGTGTGAGATTTCTGTGTGCACTGAAGTACAATATAATAATAATTTGTGCTACAGTCTGGTAAGAACTTGGTACAGCTGAACTTCTTTCTCTGATTCTAGGAGACGTTTAGGAATATGCTTTGCATTTGTGTCCAGGTTTCATTCATTTTGCTGTCATTTAGAGATATGCTAAAATCCTTGTGACACTGTTGTCTGAAATAATTTACATCCATAAAGTAAGCAAAGTGAGAATCTCATTAAAGTTCAGCCCTTCTGTATGCTGTAATTCACAAGCAGAAAATGTGATGATGGACTTTGCTCTTTTGAGAGTGAATAAAATCTTGGTTGGTTGGGTTTTTTTGTAGTTCATTACAGAATTTCCAATGATAGCATTTGATTCAGAATTCCATACCTGCAGCCAGTGTACCCAGCTGAGTATAATGTATGAGAAAATTACTGGCATAATTGTATTCAGGTTTCCAGGGATTTTTATTGAGAATCTTTTTGCTACTGCACTTTTATTTGCTATTGTAGCAAGGCCCTGGAATTTTTCTATTTTCCAGTTGTGTGTGAGGTAGGAAGCTGGAGAGTCAGAGAACATCCTATCTCTCTATTTACAGCATTGTTTAAATGATCAACAAATCTTGCCATCTCTCTGCATTGCTGAGATGACTGAATCTTCTTGGGATTCACAAACTAGGTATACCCTGCCTCTCATCTTTTCAGGACCCATTCTGGGAAATATTCCCAGGAAATACCTGTCAGGTCAGTCCTTACACAAAGCTGAAAATTAAATTGTGTCCTGCTTTTCAATGAGAGCCCTTGTTCTCATTCAGACTTACAATGTGGGACTTGTGGATTGAAATTTCCCTTTTATCTTATTTGGAGTAGATATTTGAAGCCAGATCAGTTATCTTTCAAGAAACAATCCTAAAAAACAAGAGATTGAGCTCTCGAAATTTTTGTTCCACTTGGTCTGAAAGGCAAAGTGCTCATTGAATCAAAGAAAGGGCAGGAGTTCAATTTGCCACAGTGGTCAGGATGCTTGTAGCAGAGGGTTTTTTTGTGGATCTGTTAGCTCTGTTGCAGCATCACAGGGATAAAATGGACTTAAATCAGGATGGTCTATGTAGCTAGCCTATCTTTCATTGCAGTAACAAAGGCCATTAAAGAATGTGGATAAAAGTAATACTTGAACTGTGCTTTGAAACACTTTTACACTGCTTTAGAAAATGATTGCTCCTTATATACATCATCCTATTCAGGTAAAAACCTGTCTGCCTACTCTTTATGAGTACAGACAAAAATGCTGGTATGTAGATAGGTAGGGTGAGTAAGACTGAAAACTGTTTTCTGAGTCACTCAACGCAGGTACTTAAGTCATAATCACTTCTTCAAACTGGTTAAGCCACATGTTTAAAGCAAGTTCATTCGTTTCTTGTCCTGCTGATCCTGTTGGATGCCTGTTTCACCTCAGCTCTCTTGTGATGCTTAAATGTTCTCTAAATTCTACCTCAAGTGTTTTCATGGCTATGGAGGAATGAAATTAATACTTGCTCTTTGTGCCAATAATCTTTTATTTTAGTTCAATGTCTTCCCCAGCCCTGCTGGGATGTTCAGAACACATGTAATGAAAACAGTCATAGTTTCTCATAGGCTTTATTCATGAAACTGAATGTGCCAGTCTCTTTTAGTTTTCTTCTTCAGGAGTATGTTAAGAGAAATGCAGAACTAGTGTTAGCGCTTCATTAGGAATAACTAGTACCATACACAGTCTCCCAGATGAAATCTCTATGACACTGTGGCGTGAATCTTGCCCTTCTTTCAAGAGGCACCTTTGCCTTTCTTCACAACTGCATAAGTTTCACAGACAATAGTCTTTCCTGTACAGTACAGTACAGTAAGGTCTTTCCCTTCCTCACTCCTTTTCAGCACCGAGTTCTAGCTTTTGGTAGAATATTTTTTGCATAGTGCTAAGAACACATGACTTGGCATTTCATAGCACTGTTCACATAAATCAATGTTCTTAATATTGCTATGATCCTCAAGGTTATCCAGTTCTTGTTATATTTGTTCTAATCATCCTTCTTCTTAAAAGTACCTGTAGATTTTGTTTCATTAGAAATTTTATTAACACACAAATACTGAAGAATATTAAAGCCAAGAAGGAAGAGCTTTGCTTATAATCATTCTCTATACTGAGCATGATCTATTCTTTCAGTGTAGTACAATTTCCTCCACATCTTTTATATATCTTTAGTTATTGTCTCCTCTTAGTCTTATACGAAATATTTTAATGAAGTCCAGTTTAGATATATTTTGTTTAAAAAGGGAGTTATTGTATAGCCAGATAACTTAAGTCATGATAGATTTTCATCCTATTTCCACAAATGTAAATGTCCCTAATGTCCTTCCATTCTTTCTCTTCTTCCTCCTTCCTTTCCTCCCATCATTCTTTTACTGATGCCAGAGTTGAATGACTTCTTAGATGCTCAGGCTACTACTTTTTTTTCACAGGTTATTTTGTTTGTAACATTCGTGGTTAATATCAACTTTTTTTAATCTAGATTAATTTGCTAATTAGAAATTCTGGTGGAAAAGGGTTGTATGTAAAACACAAAACATGACATATTGGAGGTGTTATCTATTAAGATACAAAATACAGCATGTTTTCTGTTTCAGTTGAGAGTAATCTTAATGAGATTAGATGCTGAAAGTGTAAGAGAGGACTATTCTGTTAGTTCAAAGAGTATCAGTTTAGAGAACTAAAATTGTGATTTTCATGTATAGCTAGTTACACTCTGCGGTCAGTTTTATTTTGCTCATCCTTTAAAGGCAGAAGAGTTTTGAATGTTTGGTTTTGCTGTAATACTTCTAAACCTGTGGGCCATCATTTCCAAGGGGGTCTAATCTGAGCTATTTTACTTCCCCCTTTCTTTTGTTATTTCCCAACACACTGAATAGCAGGGTTATAATACCAAAGGGAAATCAATTTTTGTGTGTATTCATTTTTTAGTTTTGCATCTTGCAGGCAACAGAGAGCTTTTTCCTTTTTAGTTGAATATTGACTTGACTCAGTAAATACCTCTCCTTCCTGCTCCCTACCTCTGCCACCACAGTTTTCATTGCTGAGTTTCTGATGATGCTCTGGAATAATTTTATTTCTCTGCTGTTTACTGCCTCTCTGGAATTGTGACTGTTGAAAGGATTGTCTCAGCTAATCAACCGTAAGACTAGCGGGAGCTCAAAGGCAAAAAGAAGTACAAGGGAGTTTGAAGAATACTTCGTATTGCTATAAACAACTAAAATATCATATTGCACATCCTCTAGCATAGCACAAATTATTCTGATTCTTTTGAATATTTTAAATGCAATCATTTAAGATTCATCTGGTACATTTGGCCCTTTGTCCATCTCAATTATGTGGTGCCACATAAAGGTGGAAATTTGCTTCAATTCCTTAGCTTAGTTCATAATGTTTTTGCATGGCTATATTTGTACTGCTGAGGTGGGATTCAGATTCTGTCTGCCTTGTGACAGTGCACCTTTTTAGCTATTTTTTTTTTTCAATTTCTTTGTTGCTGTGGAAAAAACAAGAATGTACTGAGTTTCTCCTTAGAAGAATATTCTCAGAAACACTTTCCATAGTGTATTAAAGATGTGGCATTAAAAATCTGCATTCAAACCTTGCTATTGGAGGCCTTAGCAGACAGGGAGTTTGCCACTTGGTGTACCAACCAGGGAAAAGGACAATCACACAGGCAGGGAGGACTGCTTTGCTGAACAATGAGAAATAATTGTTTTCAGGGCATTTCATTTGTATAAAAGCCTGGGGTGTGTAGAGCAGAAATCACTGATTTATTTTTGTCTTCCATTTCATGACAAAAAGGCCACAGAAGCTCAGTAAGTTAAAAACTTCCATTCAGTAACAGAATCTAGAAAAAGACAGAAAGAATAGAGTCAAAAGAATATCATTCCTCCCAGTGGCAGTGTAGCCTAGTATCAAACACTCTCTAATCAGATCATCTGAAAGCTCATCAACAAGAGAAACAGAAGTCATCTTTGTGTGCTCAAGGTGACTTTACAAGTACTTTTAAGGCTCTGAAAAGAAATCAAAGCAGCCTTTTGCTGAAGCCTTGAGTACTTTGCAGATGGCTGCTCTGGCCATCGATCAAAGATGTAATCAGGTCACACGGGACAAATGGTAGAACTCCAGGAGCTGACCAGGCAAGGCTTTTCTGGGTTAGAGGCGAATGTTCTTGATGCCAGG